GTGGGCACTGCCTGGGACTGAGCCTAAGTTCTAGCTCTGGGCTGGAGGCTTAGCCCGCACCAAAAACACACATCAAAAACACACAATGCCATCCTCTTTTGTGACATGGGTTAAACACCCTGGGATCATGTAACCCTCAAGGGCATGCCCTTTCACATCTTATGCACAAAACCTGAAGCAACACAAGCTCTTAACAACCTCGGGTACTTTTGCAAGAGAGGAGCGATGAGATCACCCAGCTTCTGATTTGGAGCTGAAAAAAAAATCCCTGCATCCAAAGCATATGAAGGATCTGGTTCCTTAATGGACAAAGACAGAAAGGAGGGGTGCCTGGGTGACACAGTTGATAGAGCATCTGACTCTTGATCTCCACTCAGGTCATGATCTCAGAGTTCATGGGTTCATGAGTTTGAGGCCCACATCATGCTCTGCATGGATGGTGAGAGCCTTCTTGGGATTCTGTTTCTCCTTCTCTCTGATCCTCCCCCACTTGGTCTGTCTCTCTCTCTCTCTCTTTCTCTCTCTCTCTTTCTCTCTCTCAAAATAAATTTTAAAAATAAAGAAAAAAATGGGAAATACAAAAAGGAAAATGCAGAAAGCAAAATTAAAAATAGGATTTTTTAAAGTTGCCCAGCCACTTGCATATTCAGTTTACATGTTACAGTTACTTCGAGGAAATGGTTCTGTGGTTACAACAAGTTTGAGAACACTCGCTAGAGTCTCTCATCCTCCCTCAAGAGATGAGGAAGACACAAAGTACCAGAAAAAGATGACTGACTAAAGGGACCAGAGTCAGGACAGACCCTGGACTGAGCCCAGGCCTCCTGACAGCCAGGCCAGGAAGAAGCCTTACATGATGGGGCGCCTGGGTGGCTCTGTTGGGTAAGAGTCCAGCTCTTGATTTCGGGTCGAGTCATGATCCCCAGGTTCGTGGGATCGAGCTCTGAGTTGGGCTCTGCACTGACAGCAGCAGCCTTCTTGGGATTCTCTCTCTCTCTCTCTCTCTCTCTCTCAAAATATATAAGTAAACATTTTTTTTTTTAATTTTTTGTCAAAAGGAAGCCTGAGATGTTTTCTAATGCCCAGTCTGTGTTGAATTATTGGCATCCCTGAACAAAAGACCTTCTGCTCAGACACCTCCCTGGAGAGAAAGCCTCTAGGCTCCTGGGGCAGCCATTCCTGGACAAGTATTCAAAACATCTGCCTCGGTAAAGCTGCAGTCTCCTCATGGGCACATTTGGATGGAAGCAGTTAAACACCGTAAACATGCCAGTTCCTTCAAACCTCCTTTGTCTGGGGAAATATCCCCCAACCCCCAACTTGGAGAAAGCAATTCTTCCCTAACTTAAAAATCTCTGTAATGGGGGCGCCTGGGTGGCTTAGTCGGTTAAGCGTCCGACTTTCGCTTAGGTCATGATCTCGAGGTTCGTGGGTTTGAGCCCCGCGTCGGGCTCTGTGCTGACTGCCAGCTCAGAGCCTGGAGCCTGTTTCAGTCTGTGACTCCCTCTCTCTCTGACCCTCCCCTGCTCACGCTGTCTCTCTCTCTCTCTCTCTCCTAGAAATAAATAAAACATTTAAAAAAAATTTTTTTTTAAATCTCTGTAATGAAAATTAAGACATAAAACAAAATAAAATAACTCTTCCTCAAGGAAGTGCCCCTCATCCCCAAGATCTGCTCCCACCACCCTTCCTTCCCACACACCTACTGCAACAGTCAGGCCTCAGTGTGACCAGAGAGAAATGCAAAGCCAGCTCCTGGTAAGGGAGAGGCCTTAAGGAACGGCAAATCTTGCTCAGGTGTTTCAGGAATTGTACTGAGATGGCTCGGCCTTCCATTACCATCTTTGTGGACTTAGAGAACTCACAGGTTTATTACCTATCTGTATCCCACATGGCTCTGCTTTTCATCACCCAGCATATTTCACCATGAAACAAGGGCAGCATGGGTTCCTTTCGTCAGAGGCCTATTGCTGGATGACATTTCTCATCCCCAGAGTCTGGAAGTTCAGCGAGTCTCAGGGAGGACAAGGAAAGCCACATCCAAGCACATAATAGTCATACCGGGTCTGAGAAAGATCAAAAATTGCAAGTTGAAGGGAAAAGAGATACATTACTCTAGAGGAAACAACAAGAAGAATAACAAGGAGCTTCTCCCAGAAATAATAGAATCAGAAGACAGACAAATGACATTTTTTAAAGAGTTGAAAGAAAAAAAAAGAAATCAGCAACCAATTTCTAGAATTCAACCTGGAATTCTATATCCGGGGAAAATATTGTTAAAAGTAAAAGCAAAATGAAGTCATTTTCAGGAAAACAAAGGTGAGAGAACTGTTGCCATCAGAACTGCTTTGCAAAAAGCACAAAAAGAAAAGAAAAGGCTTTAGGCCAAAGGGAAAATGATCCCTGTTGAAAGCAGGAAGGGAAAAAGAGAAATAACAGTGTGAAATGTGACTGAATATAAAAGACTTTATGTGAACAGAAGACCATGGAGGAAGGAAAGAGGGGAAAAAATGTTAAAAACAGAGAGTGAGGGAGGCAAACCATAAGAGACTCTTAAATACAGAGAACAAACGGAGGGTTGATGGGGATGGGGGAGAGAGGGGAAAGTGGGTGATGGGCACTGAGGAGGGCACTTGTGCTGAGCACTGGGTGTTGTATGGAAGCCAATATGACAACAAATTATATTAAAAATATAATAAATACATTTTAAACTATAAAAAATAAGTAAATAAATAAAAGAAAAAAGAAAACATTTAAAAGACTTTATGTAAATATCTTTTAAAGATCACTGATTATTTAAGGCAAAATGCTTTAGGAATTATGGCATACCGTAAAATGTATGACAAAAATAACTCAAAGGTGGGGGGCGTTAAATGGAAACACATCATTACAAGGTTCTTAGGTGAAGTGTTATAACATTAATTCAAAGTAGATGGTGATATGTGAAGGGTCATATTGTAATCCTAGAGTAAATAAGATAATAAGTACAGGTATAAATAAAAGCTAACAAAGAAGACAAAATAGGCAGAAAAAGGACAAAAGAGCAAAGAATGCATCACACCAATACAAATCAAATATCAATAAGATATTCTTCAGCCAACCCTTTCAGCAGCTCCATTAAATGTAAAGAGAGAGTAAATACTCTAAAGAACAGAGACTGATAGTCTAGATAAGAAAGTCAACACCAAATTTTGTACTGTTTGTAAGAGATACATTTTAAATATAAAAACACAAATAAGATGAAAGTAAAACTATAGGGAAAAAATATATATCTTGCAAAACTAATTAAAAAAAAAAAAGATCCCTGCCAATGGCGGAGGCTGTTTCATTTTAAAGGCAGCCCCTTCATGCCAAAGCCTGCCTCACTATACTCAACCATCTCTGATGAATTATGCCGGACAGCCCCTCAGCGGAAGCCCCTGTCTGCTTACTTGAGCTCTGGTATCACCTACTAGGCCAGTCCCTTATGTGAACATCCTCCTCACACCACTTGGGCATCCACTTCCTGAGCTGGGCTGCCCTCCTCATCTCACATTTATTCTGCCATCCTAAGCTGGGCTGCCCAGTGCGGGGCGTCCAAGCCCATGCAGGATGAGAAGCGTGTCCACAGAGGAGGCCTGGCGTGGGCACCTTCCTCATACGGGCTTGCATGCCATGCCATCTACTGGTTCCCTGTGGCTCCCCACCCTGCCAGAGTCACCATTGATTTTAGTGCTTCTCAAGAGACCTGGGATCAACATGGTTAGAAGCAATAATATTTTCACTTCCATGAGTCCCTTCTCTTTATCCATTATGGGGAGACGATTAGAACTTATTTAGCAAATGCTACAAGGATATGAGGAAGAAAGCTCTCCAGACAGTTGTGTGAGGATACTGTTCTAGTTCCCTGGCATTCATTCCCACTTCACGCAGTAGCAGTAACTCATATGAGAGAACCAACCCTCTTCCATCCTCAATATATTTGGTTTGGACAGAGCACACCCCAACCTGTCCAAAGGCAAAGGCCTCGACTGAGACCAATCAGTGGTTTCAAGTCCTCTGACCAACTCGACCTGCACCCAAAGCCATATGGCAGACTGTCCTTTGCTATGACTGCCACTGTGTCTCCCATCCCACAGGCTCTTCTTATATGACCGAAATACTCCTCCCCCTCAGAAGTGGTCCTATGCCCCTTTCCTTTCAATATGTGTCGAGGCTTTTGATTGCCCCAAGCAGCTGAATATGGTAGAATGGATGTCATGTGACCTCAAAGTCTAGGTAAAGAAAGAACACAGCTTCTGCCTGGCTCGACTGTGGGGACAAGCCTCCTCTGGGAAGCCAACCATCATGTTGCAAGGAAGACTAAACAAGCCCATGCAAAGACTATAGGAGAGGATCTCATAGAGAGGAACTGCCCAGTAGACAACCAGCACCAACCACTGGGCAGAGTGAGCCTTCAGGTGATCCCAGCCTCCAGGCTTCAAGCCTCTCCTGACACCAATGGGAGCAAAGGGGAGTTCTCCGCACTAAACTCGGACCAACTTGCAGATTCATGGGAAAAATAAATGGTGCTTGTGGTGGTAGTGGTGGTGGTGTCATTGCTGTTGTTTTAAACCACTCAATCCTTTAAGAACTTGACCAAGCCCTCTTCAACATTACTCCCACACCATTCTTTCTGTCCCTCCCTCTAACCATGGCCCTCGGCATCCTTATCAGATCACCAGTGATTTTGTCTCTTCCACCAGAAGCAAGGAATCTCCCCTATAATACCCCTGAGTCTCACTCGAAAGGGGCTTCAATAAAAGATCGTTCTGACGATCTAATGAGAGCCAAGGAAGATGAGATGTTCTCGGATCTATCATCATAAGGCTCATATTTCTGCTCCTCAGGGACTTGCTACTCTCTGATGCAACATTTTCAATCACCCCATCTGTAGCGGGTGGTTCCTGTTTTCAGCTGGTGTGGTTAAGATCTCCAATACTGATATGGTGTCCGATAAGTTATTTCACTCAGTCCAGGACTTGATCAGACAGCAGAAGGAGGCACTCAGAGGGCAGGAGCCTTACGTGATAAAGACCACAACACCAGAGAAGAAGACCACGGTTAGAAGTCTAGGAGGGGGCGTCAGCAGCTCTGACCCAGGCTGCCTTCTTGAGGAGATGCAGCTACTCCTGCTCTTGGTGACCTTTCTTCTGGCCTCCGAGGCTGACGCAGGTGAGTGTCTGCAGCAGGACACAAGGAACAAGGACTCCTCTGCTGTTTGTCAGAGGGAAAATCTGAGTCTCGTGGGTCATGTAGCAAGCCAGGGAGGCTGCCTGAGGAAGCCTTCTGGGTTGCTTCTGGCTACTACAGACTGTGCTCTCTGCCACCCCAACTCCCACCTGCTGCAGTTTCTCCCCCTCAGCCCCTCTCCACCTTGCAGCTTCATGAGCACAGCATGCAGAGTAGAAGTTTTCTTTCAGGGAAAATAATCGGGGGCCACGAAGCCAAGCCTCATTCTCGTCCCTTCATGGCATATCTCCAGACCCAGAATCCAGATAAAACCTGGAAAACCTGCGGGGGTTTCCTTGTACGTGAGGACTTTGTGTTAACGGCAGCTCACTGCAGGGGAAGGTGAGAAGCAGAGCCTGATTCTCCACCCTTCCGTTAAGAGGTGTTAACCATGAGGTTAACTCCCACCCAGTCTGGGCTGCCAAGAAGCACAGGGCACAGAAATGCTCAGCCCCGGGGCCCCATTCCCTGTAATTCCTCTCCAGACCCATCCTGCCCTGCCCCTAGCTGTCCTATACCCTCCAGGGCCCTGGGGCTGTACTTCCTGTGACCCCACCCCAACCCTACTCTGTGTCCAGCTCCATCACCGTCATCCTGGGGGCCCACAACATCAAGAAGCAGGAGACGACCCAGCAGAGCATCTCCGTGGGAAAAATCATCCCTCACCAAGACTATAATTCTGAAACCTTTCTCAATGACATCATGTTACTGCAGGTAGGGCCCTCACTCCACTGGTTCCTGGACACGTTATTCCTATATTCCCTGAGACCTCATTCCTGTCCCTCCTTCCCACTATGACCTCCTCACTTGCCCTGAGCTCTGAAGATGGCAACGCCATGACTGTCCCCGGGCTCTTTGTGAGCCATCTGTAGATGACAATACTGTTCCTTGGCACTCAGCTGAAAAGGAAGGCCAACCTGACCACGTATGTGAGCCCACTCAGGCTGCCCAAGAGGAGGATGTGGGTGAGGCCAGGGATGGTGTGCAGTGTGGCCGGCTGGGGGAGACTCAGCGCGAACAGCCTCTCTGGGGCAGAGAAACTGCATGAGGTAGAGCTGGAAATCCAGAAGGACAAGCAATGCATCTCCCTCTTCAAACACCGATATAACAGCACCACCCAGATGTGTGTGGGGAACCCAAGAAAGAGGAAGTCTTCTTTTAAGGTGAGATCCCCACCACTGTCCATGCCAAGCCCTGGGACAGCCGTGTTTTGAGAAGGGGCAGTGAGAACTAGCCGTGTCCTTATGTCCTCAGCCTTTCCGTCCAATCCAGTCTCCTGTCTTGTGTCCCTAGCAGGGGTGAGACACTGTCCCACATCTGCTTATGGGAAGAGGTTCTCTGAGGGAGAAGATAGAGGGGAGTGAGAGGACCAGGCTGGAGCCCCAGGCCTCACCTGGCCCTGATCTCACCCACAGCCCCTAACAGAGACCACCTATCCCCAGGGGCAGCAGGGGCCCAGGACCAAAAGAAGGCCCAGCTCAGCCCTTCCTCTCTCTGCCCATAGGGAGACTCCGGAGGCCCCTTTGTGTGCAACAACGTGGCCCAGGGCATTGTCTCCTTTGGGAAAAAAGATGGGAGACCTCCACGTGTCTACACCAGGATCTCGAGCTTTATGCATTGGATAGAAAAAACAATGAGACCCTTCAGCCTGCAGGGACCAGACTGAGATGTCCCCAGGATCAATCCGTCCACTTTCTCTGGGACAGAGGCCAGAACTGCATTGGGCAAAGGGGGTGGAGAGGAGGCTTCCAGGGACTTAATAAACTTCTGTCTCTAGTGGAAATTAGGTTCCTCCTTTATTCCCCAAAACAACATTCATTAGCTATGGCAACCATCTGTTCACATTCTCTAGAATAAAAAGGCATGCTGCTCTGATACCCAGTTCCTTCCAAATACACGCCCCCTGCCAGGCTCAGTGTAAGCTCCATCAGGGAAAGGGAGACACCGCCCCAGGGAAAATGACCGTCTTCTAGAGGACCCTCCTATCTCATCCATATGCCTTTCTACTTCATCCCACACCTACACCCCCACCCCATCCTACCCTAATATGGCAACATAAAGGAACCCACATTTGGAAGGAGACCACCTAAGAAGCTCTGAGATAGCTGACCACTTTTCCAGCCTAATAGAAATGGGCGAGAAGATTCTGGAAAGCTGTAGTTCAGCCCATGCAGCGTTCCCTCCCCAGATCAGAGTGGCAGCTTGGAGCCTGAGAAGTTTCAAGAGGGCCCTTCAGTAGTCTAAGTGCCAGCGTAGTCTAAGTGCCTGTCACAGCCTTGCCATGGTCCCAGAGCCCAGCACACCCTCTGGTGTCCTGCAACCCATCTTCCTTCCATGGGCTTGAATGACCTTCAGGCTTCAGGGTGTTCTTCCATCTTGGTCTAATCCAGCCTCTTCCATCTAACACTGGTTCCGTGTGTGTGTGTGTGTGTGTGTGTTGTGCACGCGCGGGCACGTGTATATGTGAATGAATGTGTCTCCAAAGGAAGCATATTATAATAAAAAGTTCTTTTTCTAAGGTATCCTATTATTTCAAAGGTATCCTATAGCCTATATAGCTTATCGAGTAAATTTTTTCTTCCATTTTTCAACAATCTCCAAGTCTCTTATATAAGAATGTATTCAGAAAAGTAATCTCATTTTAAACACACCCACCTTAGGGGTGCTTGGGTGGCTCAGTTGGTTAAGCCTCTGACCCTCGATTTCGGCTCAGGTCATCATCTCACAGTCCTGATCCACACTGACAGCCCAGAGCCTACCTGGGATTCTCTCTCTCTCTCTCTCTCTCTCTCTCTCTCCACTTCTCTCTTGCCCCTCCCACACTCATAATCTCTCCCTCTCAAAAGAAATAAACATATAAAAAATAATAATTAAAAAAATAAAACACCCACCTAAGAGAAGGCAGCCTGGAAAGAAGTGGTTTGTTAAATGTTTGCCATTGATGAGCGTGCTTAGACTGTGGGAAAAGGTACACTCAGTGCAGATTCTTGGTCTGCTCCTGGTGACCATCAGCATCTCAAGGCATGAGCCATGTCTCTCATCTCCCTGGATCTAGCAAGCTAAACAATTATTCAGGATTTCCTCACAATGGAAAAAGAGCCAGGAGCCGAGAAATAAACACATTCTTGTCTCGATTCAGTCACGGAGGGGCTTCTAAGGAACCAGCCCTTCTGTAGGCTCTAGTTCGAGCTATCACTTTCTTGTTCTTTCTTCTCATTTTCCCCTCATGACTCAGCAGTGGGAGTATAAGTGGGAAGGCTGTAGCATTGTCACCCAGCCCAAGAAAACCACTTCATATGATGACGCCCAGCTCTACACGAATACAAATCGAGGAGGCCTAGATGGTCAGTGAGCCCCCCATCTTTCATTCCCCTTGGGGCTGTGTATCTGGAAGGAAGAAAGACGGGCAGCTCTGACCTGGGCAGAACTTCAGGGAAGATGCAACCACTTCTGCTTTTGCTGGGCCTTCTGTTGCCCCTTGAGGCCAGGACAGGTGAGTGACCATCCCCATTCCAGAGGCCTGAGCCCATCCTACAAAGCCCCCTGTAGTCCTGACTCTTCTGTGCAGTGCAGTCCGGAATTTGAGCCCAGCAACTTCCTGAACCCCAGCTCCTATCTGAAACCAAGACTAACAGGTCTGATGCTCCACAAACACACTCAACAAGGATGGCCAGAAGGAAGGGTGTTCACTAGAAGGTTTGGTAAGCGTTAGCCTCTCTCTTATAGCTTGGAAAGTGGGTTGTTCATAGAAAGACATTTGACAGAAGATATGAAACTACGAAAAACAGGCTTTAAAATTCCTCGCTCCAACCCAGGAAAGGTAAGTTCAGACAAACCAGCTGCAGCAGTGGGTGTTATCCCTGGGCCCACCTTCAAAAGCCAGTTAAATTTCTCAGTGCTCTCCACCTGTTCAATCCTGCCCAGGGGAGGGTGATCCCAGCAGCAGCTAGATGACTGCCTCCCAAGCTCAATCCCAGACCTGTGCAGCCCATCCCAGCACCACCCACCTCTGCCTTCCCAGGCCCTCGACTGCTCCACTGCTTTTGACAGTGCCCTCTCTAATTCCTGTGGCCTTGAATCCCACCATCCCGATCTCTACCCAACCTCAGCCAAAACTAATTGAAGGCCATTCATTGATGCAACTTAAAAATGTCTGCTGAGACCTTAGGATGTGTAAGGCCATGTGGAACATGAGAATATTAGAGAGTCCAACTCCATAAAGGCATAGGTAGTTTATTAGAAAATGGTACCCATCAGGATGTTAACAGAGGCTCAGAGGGGCCCGGGAGACTCACTGAGAAAGAAGGCATCAGGGGAGTCCTGTCCACAATACCCTGAGATTCCACCATCTTGAAGATAGATCTTCTCTCCCCCACACACATGTGTGAGGTAGGATGTGGAGAACAAGCACTGCCCCCTTCTCAGAGGGGTTATAAGGCTTGAGGTTCAGCAAAGTCCTCTGGCTACAAGGAGAACCTGAGAAGACCCTCAATCACCACCTTCCTAAGCTTTCCCTCCTGACCATAGCAGCTGCCAGTTACCCCACTCACCAGCCTTTTCTTTCAGAGGAGATCATCGGAGGCCATGAGGCCACGCCCCACTCCCGGCCCTACATGGCATTTGTCCAGTTTCTGGACAAGGACAGTAAGAAGAGGTGCGGTGGTACCCTTGTGAATGAGGACTTTGTTCTGACGGCTGCTCACTGCTTGGGAAGGTGAGGGGCAGAGACCGCTAGGGGGACCCCTGCCCTTTCCCTTGGGGCTGCAGCCCAGGGAAGCATCCCCGGCTCCTGGTCATTCAAGACTATGAGAGCTCATCAAAAGAGCCTGCTGAGAGCACAGCTGGGGCAGCTAAAGGCTGAGACCCAGGACAAGTGAGCCTTTAGTCGGAGGGTCAGATGTGAGAGTAAGTGGCACAGTGGATAGAGACGGACCACGCCAGGCAAATAAAGCAGCAGTGGAGGATGGAAGCATGCATTAGCGCCAAAATGCAAACTCAGAGTAATTTCATCATATTGCTTCAGAACAGAAGACAGCTCCCAGAAGCCCTGCCCTCAGTGAAAAAAAGAAGAAAAAAAGAAAAAAAAAGAGAATCCAGGACCCATCTGCCACCTTGATGTCCCCCCACCCACCCCAGTCCTGCCCACCCCAGCTGCACCTGCCCTTCATGGCTCCTGGGCTGTTTCCTGTGATCCCACCCCCCCACCCCCCACTCTGCTCTCCATGCAGCTCCATCAACGTCACCCTGGGGGCCCACAACATCAAGAAGCAGGAGAAGACCCAGCAGATCATCCCCGTGAAGAGAGCCATCCCCCACCCAGACTATAATCGAAAGAACTTGGCCAACGACATCATGCTACTGCAGGTAAGGAGGCCTCCCCGCTGCCCTTGCTCTTCTGGGTCCACACTGTCTCTCCTCCCACTGGGACTTGACTCCTCCCTCCTTCCCTTCCTGGCTGCCTGACCAGTCCCAGTGGCTCAGGGGAGAGAGAAGACCGGACAGCCGCATTGGGGCACCCGGGCCCAGAGACCACTGGCTGAGCTGGCCTCTCTTGCTTCTTCCCATCAGCTGGCGAGAAAGGCCAAGCTGACTGCAGCTGTGAGGCCCCTGGGCCTGCCCAGGGGCAAGGCCCGGGTGAGGCCAGGACAGGTGTGCAGCGTGGCCGGCTGGGGACAGATGGCCACGGGCACTCTAGCAACCACTCTGCAGGAGGTGGAGCTGATGGTGCAGGAGGATTGGGAGTGCAGATTCCGCTACCGTGGCTATTACATCGGGGCCACCCAGATTTGTGTAGGAGACCCGAAGAAGATGAAGACCGGCTTCAAGGTCAGGCTTCCAGCATCTACCTAGACAGGCCCCAGGAGGTCTTGGGGACCTGGGGAGGTCCCAGGTATGGGAATGGCCATGCCTTCATGCCTCAGCCTGAGAGCCTGGGCGGCTGGGTCCACAAATCCAGTCCTCAGCTCCTCACCCCCTCCAGTGCACCCAGTTTGGGGAGGAAGGCTCAGTCTCCTCATGGCAGCCATATCATCCGAGTTTCCTGGGTAGTGCTGGAAAGAACAGTCACTGGCTGGCTGGGGCCCAGGGACCAAGAGAGGGGACAAGGACTCCCCAGGGTCCAATCTCCCATGCAGCCCCTAACACAGACCTCCATCCCCAGGGCTGTGGGGAGGGCAGGACCACCAGAAGGCCAGCCCAGTCTTTTCTCTCTCTGCCCCACAGGGGGACTCTGGGGGCCCTCTTGTATGTAACAAGGTGGCCCAAGGGATTTTCTCTTATGGAAACCTGGACCGGACACCTCCAGGGGTCTTCGTCAAGGTCTCACACTTCTTGCCCTGGATAAAGAAAACACTGAAGCACCTCTCCAGGCAGGCGTGAGGCTGACCTTCCTCCGTGCTTGGCCACCTTTCCTGGAGCAGAGGAAAGAATCCCCTGAGGCTGGGAGGGAGGGGAGTGGGCATTTCAGGGCCATAATAAATAGATCTCTAGAGTGAGTGTGCCTGCAGTCTTATTTATTCACTGAACCACTTTCAGTACGTAGCAACACTGCTGCAGGCAGACTTCTGCTGTCAATTCTGGGTTTTGTTTTCTCCTTTCTCCCCAAGCCCTCTATCCTCCCTAAACCCTTTGCTACATAGTTTCTCATCAATTTCTCAATAACACCTCTTTGGGGCTTAGTCCTCTGCAAGGGTTCAGCCCAAACTCTGTTATAAAAGGACAATCCTCTCTCCCCAAAAATTGTCTTCTCTGGGCCATAGGAATGTCATAACTTCTCTAAGCCAACCACCATCACGAACCCCACAATTTGGTCAGTAGAAAGGGAATTACTCCAGGGGGCATGCCACAAGCATTGTTTCCTGTCTCCAGGGGGCATCATTTTGGGGCAGTGGAGGCAAGTTTCTCCTACAGCCAGGACTTTCTGCAGCTTAGGAGCCTGAGATGCGGCCCCAGCCCCACCCAGGTTTCACTTCTCTGCCCTGTCCCGTGCCCAGCACTAAATTCAGTCAACCTTCCTCCTTGGCTGACCATCCCACAACAGCCTCTGTTTTCCATCTTGCCACATCTGAGCTGCCAACCCACCCAATGCCTCTCCGAGGAGCAGTACCCACTTCCCAATGGGTAGGACCCGCTGATTCCCTCAGTCCAAACCAGTATCTCCCAGGAAGGAGTTTAGCCACCATAGCCTGTGGAGTCACTCACTCAACAGCCTCAGCCCCATTCAGCCTGGCCTAGTCTCAGGACCCAGACTCCCCCTGCTGGTAACCTGGGTTATGACAGCTTTGTGAGCCAGAGGGCTGGGAAGGCTGGGCTGTATCACATTGCCATCCATCAATACGTCAAATGTTGATCTCTCTCTTAGTGCCAGTCATATAACAGGCTCTGTCTCTGCAACTGGGAAACTTACAGTGATGACAAATTTCTCCTAAATTGCCCTGGTTTCTCTCCTTCCACCAAGCAGTTCAGTTTGGCACATACGATTTTTTTTTTTTTTAGAATCCACAGGAAAGCTTGTCTCTCTCTCTCTCTCTCTCTCTCTCTCTCTCTCTTTTTTAATGTTCATTTTAATTTTGAGAGACAGAGCACGAGCTGGGGAGGAGCAGAGATAGCAGGACTGAAGATCCATAGTGGGCTCTGTGCTGACAGCAGAGCCTGATATGGGGCTTGAACTCATAAACCATGAGATCATGACCTAAGCCAAAGTCAGACATTCAACCAATTGAGCCACCTAGGTGCCCCAAGAAAGCTTGTCTTGAAAATAATTGAAATCCCTAAACTTTATCTGTATTGCAACTCACAATTTCACAGGGATGACTTTGTTTGGTTCCAGAAAGGCAATGTGAAGTTGGAAGAAAGTTGGAGACCCACAGGTCCTCAGGTTTCTAACCTACGCACAATAGAGGCTGTGCCCAGAAGTAAGGGAGGGAGAGAGGGAGAAAGGGCGGCCTTATTTTTATTTCACCTGTAGAAGACATGAACTTCAGTCCACAAACCCATGAAATGCCACATTTCAGGTGGAAGATAGTTCACTGTGACCAGACAACCTTATTTTAGGGTCCCCTATCCTTCAAATACCACTAGTGAGTTGAATGTTACAGAACAAATTCACAAATAGCTGAACAATTAGACAAACACTGAATCAAGTAGGACTTATGTCAAAATGAGAAAGAATTGGTGCACCTGGGTGGCTCAGTAGGTTAAGCGTCCAACTCTTGATTTGGGCTCAAGTCATGATCTCATGATGGTGAGATCAAGCTCTGGGTCTGGCTCAGTGCTGGGCATGGAGCCTGCTTAAGATTTTCTCTCTCCTTCTCTGTCTATCCCTCCCCTCCCCCACATGCATTCTCTTTCTTTCCCTCAAAAAAAGAAACAAAGAAACCAAGAACTTTGCTAAAAAGGAAACAAATAAATCACATAGATGTGAAAACAAAATCCAGCACATTGGAAAAAAAAGTGAAAAGCAAATAAAAGCTAATTATTCACACAAGACTGTCCCTATGTCCATCTGCCAAGTCTTCCCTGGGGCTCATAGCACAAGCAACAGCACAGATTAAAGCTGAATGCACAGATGGGGGTGAGCAAGAGAAGAGTAGAAGGTGCATGAGCCAGGGGACAGCTCTGGGCACACTCTGAGGAGAAGCCATCACACCTAAGAAATGTAGAGGCCTTGGAAAGTCAGCCATGAAGAGCTCCATGGAGCCCCAGGGTGGAAGCTTGAGCCAAGGGCAGAGTAGCCAAGGACCTCCACCATCAGGGGCAGAGGTGTGTGACCTTGAAGGACAGCCTTATGGGTCAGTTTTTCCCTTACACCTGATAGAAGCACTTGACACAGTATGACATATGTTAGGAAGAAAAACTATTACCTTACAATGACCGTAGCGTCATGAAGACTAGGCTGCTGTTGATGTTCCCTTAAAATTTCTAAGTCAGTTCACACCTATTTCTCTCTCTTGCTTTTGTGATTTTTATTTCTAGAACTTAATCCTATATAAGGTTTAAAGTGTGTTAGTGTGTGTGTATGTGTGTGTGTATGTGTATGTGTGTGCATGTAGGGAGGTTATTTAAAAGGTGTTCATTAATCACGCCATTATTTAATAATGGCCTCAGACTGGAATCAGTATTAATGTCCAAAATAGGGAAATGGTAAATATGGCACATTTATATAATATGTTCTGCAGTCATTGAAATCTACATTATCCACCATTCTAGAAAACTAGGCTAAGGAAACAAAAGAAAGAAAACTAAGCCAAAAACATTAATAGGCAAGTTATTAAAAAAAAAAAAAAGTTGGTACGTGTGTTAGTTAAGAAAACCCTAACTATTCTACCAGATAAACTTTAGCATTTTAGTGACTCATACAATAGAAACCTATATCTTGCTCACCCACAGTCCGAAATGATTGTTCCTGGTACGTAATGCCCCTTCATACTCTCAAGTGTCCCAGCTGAGACGATAAATTACATGTGTGCCCATGATTAAGGAACCCAGGCTCAAGCTCCTAAAGACAGCCTCCAAGTTCCCCTTGTTCATCTGGGTCAAACCCAGGTAGGGAAAGAAACTAGATGATCAGGTGCAGAAGCGAGGCTCATTATAGGCCCCGTCTGAGAGGTACCCACACCATCTCCATTCACATCCCATTTGCTACAATAGTCACATAGTCACACCTAATTTCAAGTGAGGCTGGAAGACTGGATTTACCCAGGTCCTCTGGAAGAAAAGAAAATTGTTTTGCTAAACTGCTAGCTCGCCTCTACCACAATATGTTATAGTGTTCGCTGTTTAAAAGGATCATGGGCCCTAAATTTTGTTCTACCTATAAAACTAATATACACCGATGACCAGAAAAAAAATGGATAATATAAAGGTGAAAAGAAGAGTCATAAAATGATTATTCTGGCTGTTGCTTTTTTTTTTAACAGAATTAGTATCAAATTGTATACATCATTTCACATTCTACTTTTTCCACTTAATATTAGGTGATGCAAAGTGCTCCATGTCACTAAGCAGTCTTATAAAACATGCTATTTAATGACCAGATAGTATTTCATCCCATGGATATAATAGAATTAACATTACTGATCTCCTGTTGTTGAATAGTTGGGTGATCTGAACATTTGGGAAGAGAGTCTCGGGGTATATGTCCACCTCTACCTTTTTCTCACATTTACCCGGGGCCCCAGGGTCAGCCACTCTATCTCAGTAATATGCTTTTCTGCCTGAAAACACTGAGGTCCTTGAGCCTCTTTTCAACTCTTTCTCTGCCACATCCAGGGTTTCCAGGTCCCTCTCTCCCTCAAACCACTCTGATGGGGAGATTGTATGCAGATCGATTGAGTTTCCTTTGTCACCTGCTCTTTCCTACTAGACCAAAACCCGGGCCAGCTCTTGCCAAGAAAGTGTCTCACTCCCAGCAGACACGTGTGGTGGGAAGACAACAGTGCAGAGACAGCCTTCTCCCAGTACTGAAGCTCCACAAAACAATCACCAGCTCATCAGGAGAATCTTCCCAAGGAGCTTCTAGTCTGTCCTTCTAAGTGTGATAATAGGGCAGCCCTAAGAATGTCCAGAACGTCTCCATAGTACATAGGTCTCCTACAATGACAAGGGCAACCAGATTGGTTTCTGACCAGGTCAGCATCAAAGGGAGGGAGAGGGAAGTGTTGCAGCCTCAGCAAGCAACTGCCTGCCCAGAACTTTGCATTTTGGTGGTATATGGGGCCCAGGACGGAGGTGGGAGACATCCTACTTTAATGTCCCAACATCCCAGAGGAGAAAAAATTGTAACTGACGGAAATGTAATAAAACAGTCAAATGCAGATGTAACCATCTAGGAATATTGTGAAATGTATCACAGCCATGTTTGTTCAAATATCACAGTTTTTATTAAAAGGGAAAATCAAAACATTAAAAACAGCTGTGCCCCCATTTATTCTCCAACATTCCGTTCTCTGTCCAAATGTTCTCTCTAATCCCCAACTACTGGCAAACAGACTTTTAAGAAATTTTTATTGCAAAATATATACACATGAAAAGCACACTTAGAGAATGAAGGCCAAGTTTCAGAAAGCCCCCATGTGTCTCTTCCTGCTAAAAATGCCCCCTCTGCCCTCCAACCCCAGAATTAACTTACCGCTGTGACTTTTGTGAGAACCACTTCCCTGCTTTGCATCATGCTCTTACCACCTATGGATGCATTTATATCCAAAATAGTTTCATTTTCACAGTGAATATAGTCTTTCCGGGCCTTTTCTCTCAACATTATGTCTGTAAGACTTATTTGTGGAACTGCATGTGGTATCAGTTACTTATTTTCATTGATATGCAATATTAGATTATATAAATATGCGAAGGTTTGATGTTTGTGCTGCAGTTGCTAAGTCTTTTAAACGATTCCAGTCTGGGGCTTTCATGAATAATGCTGCTATGATCTATTTGGAGATGTATCTGGTGGAAATGTTCACATGTTTCTCTCAAGTATATACTTA